GCCCGGACGAGCTTTACCCGGTGCATCCTTCCGGCGCCACCACCACCCGTCCTGCCGCCCTCGCCGCTAGTGTCGATCTATGGCACACCCGCCTCGGTCACCCCAACTCCACAGTTTTGCGTCAGATTCTTCAGAGTTTTTCGTTCTCATGTAATAAGGTTGACGACCACTCCTGTGAGGCATGTCGTCTTGGCAAGCACGTCATCTCCCCTTTCATGAGTCTACACACATTTCTACTTTTCCGTTTCAGTTATTGCATAGTGATGTTTGGACGTCCCCGGTTGCAAGCATTATTTATACTATTTGGTGATATTAGATGATTTTTCCCATTACATGTGGACGTTCCCTCTCCATCGCAAGTCCGACGTTCTCGCCACACTCACCGCTTTTTATTCATATGTCACCACACAATTTGGTCGTCCCATTCTTGCCTTGCAAACTGACAATGGAAAAGAGTTTGACAATGTCGCCGTCCGCCATCTCCTTGCGTCGCATGACACTACCTTCCGGTTCACTTGCTCCTACACGTCACAGCAGAATGGCCGCGTCGAGCGCGTCATCCGCACTCTTAATGACTGTGTCCGCACGTTGCTCTTCCACTCCAACGTGCCTCCTTGGTTCTGGCCGGATGCCCTCGCGGCCGTCAGCCTTCTTAGTAACATTCGCCCATGTCGTCCCCACTGGAACTACTCCCCTCACCAGCTCCTCTTCGGTGCAACTCCATCTTATGGTGGTCTTCGCATTTTCAGGTGTCTCTGTTATCCTAGCACCGCGTCCACCACTCCTCACAAGCTCGCTCCCCAGTCAATTCCTTGCATCTTCCTCGGTTATCCTCCCAACACCAAAGGTTACCGGTGCTATGATCCAGTGTCCCACCACGTTATCACTTCACGACATGTGTACTTTGATGAGTTGGTGTTCCCGTTTCAGAAGGTACCCTCGGCGTCTCCCGCGGCGCGACTCACCCCTGCTACCACCTTTGGCGAGCCGCCCTCTACGCCGAGCCGAGCACTGGGCTCGGCCCTGCCCGCGCTTCCAGCGCCGGCCACGCCCTCCCGCGGCGCCTCGGGTGTGGTTGCCCCCGCGGGCGCCCCCGCCGCCGCGGCCCCGCTGGCCGCCCCCCATGCTGCGGTCCCTTCGGCCGTTCCCGTCGCGCCCTCTGGCGCCACCGCGGGTGGGCCCTCGGCGTCTTCGGAGACCGGCTCGAGCTCATCCTCGTTGGTCCCCCTCTCGGCTCCACTGGCTACCGTCGCACCTCTCACCATTGTGGCCCTCGGCGTCTCCGGAGACCGGCTCGAGCGCATCCTCGCCGGTCCCCCTCTCGGCTCCGCTGGCTACCACCGCACCTCTCACCGATGTGGTCACTCAGGCTCGGACTGGGACGTTTCTTCCCAGCATGCGCTACACCACTAACGAGTACGCGTGTGTCGCGTCTACCTCGGCCCCGTCCCCGCTCCCCACCTCCGTCCGCGCAGCCCTTCGGGATCCGAACTGGCTTGCTGTGATGCGTGAGGAGTTCGACGCCCTGCAGCACAACCGTACGTGGCATCTTGTCTCACGGCCTCCCCGTGCCAATGCCATCACTGGCAAGTGGGTCTTCCGCCACAAGACTCGCCCCGACGATTCCCTTGAGCGCTACAAGGCGCGTTGGGTCATGCGCGGCCTTCGCCAGCACGCCGGCGTCGACTTCACCGACACCTTCGCCCCGGTTGTCAAACCGGGCACGATTCGTGCTGTTCTCCAGCTTGCTATTTCTCACGCCTGGCCCGTTCACTGGCTCGACGTGTCCAATGCTTTTTTGCATGGCCACCTCGACGAGCAGGTGTTCTGTCAGCAGCCTACTGGTTTCGTCGACACCGACTATCCGGACCACGTGTGCTTGCTCTCCTGTTCTCTCTATGGGTTGAAACAGGCACCTCAGGCCTAATACCCGCGGATCGCGGCCTTCCTTCAACAGCATGGGTTCCGGTCCACATGGTCTGATGCCTCCCTGTTTGTCTATCACCAGGGCACTGCCACCGCGTACCTTCTCCTATACGTCGACGACATCATCCTGACTGCGTCCTTGCCAGTGCTACTTCAGCAGATCACAGCTCGCCTCGGCACCGAGTTCACCCTCAAGGACTTGGGGGCTCTCCACTACTTCCTCGGCATCGAGGTTGTTCACCGAGCCACCGGCTTTCTTTTGCACCAGTAGAAGTATGCCTACGAGCTTATGGAGCGAGCGGGCATGCTTAACTGCAAGTCTGCTCCTACGCCTGTCGACACGAAGGCTAAGGTGTCCGCCGTCGAGGGTTCTCCGGCGTCTGACGCTCCCTTCTACCGCTCCATCGTCGGTGCTCTTCAGTACCTCACGCTGATGCGTTCGGACATTCAGTACGCTGTCCAGCAGGTGTGCCTTCACATGCATGCTCCTCATGATACTCATTGGGCTCTAGTGAAACGTATTCTTCGGTACATACGTGGCACCATAGCTATGGGTCTCACCCTGATGGCATCACCTGACACCTGCCTTGTCGCCTACTCCGACGCCGACTGGGCTGGGTGTCCCGACACTCGACCCTCCACTTTCGGCTACTGCGTCTACCTCGGGCCCTCTCTGATTTCGTGGTCGTCTAAAACAACAACCCACGGTCTCACGATCGAGCGCCGTGGCTGAGTATAGGGCGGTGGCCAACGCCATTGTGGAGTGTTCTTGGCTACGACAGCTACTTCAGGAGTTGCTATGTGAGGTTACCAAGGATACGCTTGTCTACTGTGACAATGTCTCCGCGGTGTACCTCGCTGCCAACCCTGTCCATCACCGATGGACGAAACATATTGAGCTTGACATTCACTTCGTCAGGGAGCACATCGCACTTGGTCGTGTTCGAGTTCTACATGTGCCCACCGATCAGCATTTCACCGATGTTATGACGAAGGGACTACCCACCTCGACATTCGAGGGCTTTCGATCCAGTCTCTGCGTCACCGGCGACGCTTCGACTGCGGGTGGTGTTGAACATGTGTACATGTACGTAGGTCAGGGTTTAGTATGCAGTACCTGTAGTGTCTGTCTCCCTGTGTATGCACGTGTATCTTAGGAGACACGATACCGGTCGCATCCCTTGTACCTATATATATGTGCCTAGTGCATGATCAATGAGATATCGATGCACCAAATCATTCTCTACAAAAACAACCCAAACTAGAAACTGGGCCAATGGAGTAAACAAGTTTGTTGGGGGACTCAAACGGGCTGCAACAATTGGGAGGATGCCATCACATAGATGAGACCAAATTATATCTCATCTAGATGAGTTCTAGCCACTCCCAATGATTTTTGTTACATATGAAATTTGTCACATAAATACTAGGCCATATTTTGGAAATGCACTCAAAGTTTCAAGTCACTTTGAAATGATAAATATTTGTTTATTTTGAAATAGTTATTTTAGTTGTAGTTGGACCACTTTATAATTTCCTAGGGATTAATTGATGAGTCAAATGATGCTGGTTTCAACATGACAAATGATCAAGGGAATTTTTTGAATAATGCAAATATTTTAGTTTTACTATTTGAAGAAATATTAATTTGACTTGCAATTTGAATTTGAATTTGGTTTTTACCGAGGGACAATGAAGCTTAGCAAGCATGGTGACATGACATTATTAGGGTGAGGTTACTATAGCATAACTATCGGGGTGTTACAACGAGTATAGTAAATAGATATAATGAAGTACTGCTTTATTAACATATTACTCATCTTACACTCTCACAAAGTTTTTATGAGCACGTGTTGCAGCTGCACCTGCAGCTAGCTGTTAATCTTTAGCTCGCTTTTCTTATCTTCTCTCTTCTCTCTCTTCTAACTCAACAAGAACATATTATTTAAATCTTCATAGACCGTTTACATCACTTTATTATACTCTCTAATGGTTGTTATGTTCTGATGATATTTACATCAGCAGTCATCACGTCTAATATTTTTTCTCTGCTAACCCAAGCTTCATCCACCTCCGGTTCGCTTCTTGGCTGCCTCAAAAGTTTCCCTCCTCACTGTATCGGACACATCGTCACAAGTTTGTGAGATTGAGACGAGTGAGTGGAGATTGCCGAGGAAGCAAAGTGCAAAGGCCAATGGAGGCGCCATGTCAGCCCCGTATGTACGACCGTGAAGAGTAAAATAAATCTTCACATTTTTTTTCCCTCTAAAAGAACATATTTTTTTCACAGCAGATACTTAGCATGCTGATGTAATATAAAAATACATTTTTGCCGTCACTCTAATACTCCAGTTATCATGTTACTACCTTTGTTCACAAGTGTAAGATGTACCAACTTTTTTCTGAATCAGATGTATATAGACACATTTTAGTGTGTTTGTTCACTTATTTCAGTCTGTCATAATCTAATTAAAATATCCAAAACATCTTACATCTGCAAACGCATAATAGAAGTGATCATGGGCTCATGGCAGTGGCCCAGTCGTTAGGTGTGACAATTGTTTTGAATGACATGGCAGTCATGCAGTCATCATCCGTGGTGCCCAGATTGTTTCCAGGTTACAGGGGTAGCCCATCTCACCTGGTTGACAAGACATGACTAAATATTAGCTATCTCACCCTGGTTGACAAGACATGACTAAATATTAGCTATGCTAATTTGAATCAAATTCATACAAGGTGTCCAGATGCTTTCTATCTAGATTTTGTTTCAGCAGAACTTCCTGAACCTTGTAAAAAAAAGTGCGCACAAATCACATAACTGCAAAATCAAAACCTGATACTATCTTCCAAGTAAAGATAAGCCATGCTTAGGGAACATGTACAACACATTGCCTGCTTTTCACTGAACTAGTGAAGGTGCGTACAATACTGACTTCTAGCACACAAAAATTAACTAAAACATCCATCCAATGCAGAGTAAAATATATCTGTTTCTCAAAAAACGAAAATTACACAGACCAAGTCCAAGATCAAATACTGCAACTTAAATTCGAATTTGAAACACGATGACTTTATGCTGGCACGGTCGACCAAGTCACCTTCACAGAGAGGGCGGCATGCTGAAGCACTATTTGTTGACAGGCACATCCATGAATGTTTGCTTTGAAGTAGCAACTGCGTTCAAGATGATCATTTTTAGAGCCGTTCTGACTTACCTTGAACTTCAACTGCATCCAAGTATCCATCTTTACAGCAATCACGTATCTTCTTAAGCCACATGACTCAGCAGTAGTGCCACGAAAGAGCGGAATTTCCTGATCTGATCCGCCGACAAGCACAAACGAACTGAGCGATAAATTGAATCCATTCTGCACTTTCAATATGAGGACATCTATTGTGGCTTCCACTGCATTGTAAATGCGTGCTAAAGTGATGTCAACCGCACCACAATCGCCATTAATGCGATTTGTGAATGACACAGAAGGTATGGTTAGGTTACAATAATCTGTTGCGCCGTCGATCAATGTTAGATCATCTTCTTCTTTATCTCCTGTCTTGATCCTCATGTCAAATTCAACTAGAACAGGGGAATTCATTGCGATGCCTCGCTTAGGGCCAGTCATCTCAATGAGAGAACCCTGCAAAACCATTATTATTTAGTAGCTCCTAGTAAAAGTAAGAATTACCTAAAGCGTATACTTGTCTTTCTAGCCAATTGTAAAAGGATCTCAAATACATGGCAGCATAGAATAACTTAAAGTCTTCCCTACAAACATAAATCTGGCTGAACATGAAACTTAACACTTGAGAAATCGCGCAAAGATAATTAACCATAAACTTGCCCAATATATGCAAGGATAACCCCATCTTTCTCTAACATCCTCGAAGGCACATGTATGCACATATAAAAATCCTCAAAGTGGAACCACCATCACCAACGCCGCAGATCTTTGTTCTTTATTATTATAAAGGGAAGTTGGTTAATTCTTTATGAAAGAATCGGTTAAGTCCAGGAGTGACAAAACAGAGATGTGGAAGAAAGAATATCAGGACCACCTGGGCCCAATGGAGGAACCAGAAGAACAGGAGGGAGGTCTGTCTGATCATGAATCTAGTGATCATTCTACTAATAGTAATTCCGACAAAAATGATGCAGAGGAAGAGTGTGAACAAGCAATTGTGCTTGATGGTACTAATGTGGAAAGATTAAGGAGGGAGGAGGTGGCTCCCAGGAATCTCTTTACTTATTGTTGGTTCACAGGATGTGCTTGTCCAATCCACTGATGATATTACTGGAGATGATGCTGCTCCACGCAATGGTACTGAAGCTCAAAGGGGAGTTGCTCAAGCAACAAGAAAGAGTGCCAGAATTGCTCAAATGGGAGTGGGTCGTGAGACTATGAGAGGGTTGAAGACAGAGAGCTGCTAGGAGGGTGGCTGAACAGAATTTGGAAGGTAATACTATCTCCACTAAAAATTCCTTTTCTGTTTTATCTGATGATGATATCTGTTAAAGCTTTAGAAATAGGGATTGACCGTGATTTACTTCCTCTGGAAACATTTGATACTATGAGAGATCTAGAAATAGCTAGGTCAATAACTTGCATCATAAGAGTTGTAATGATGAGGTGGAGAAAAATAGTCCAGTAAAATTCCTGGACTGGGAAAATAAAATGGATGATATTGTTGGTGATTTTACCGTGGTAGTCTCTAGATCTCTAGAAACACTTTGAAAAAGCAGAAGAAAATGGAAAAATTACAGAGCAGAAGGAAGAATAATCACATACTCCCTCCGTTCCTAAATATAAGTCTTTTTAGAGATTCTAATATAGACTATATACGGAGCGAAATGAGTGAATCTACACTCTAAAATACGTCTATATTCATCCGTATGTAGTCCATATTAAATCCCTACAAGGACTTATATTTAGGAACGGAGGGAGTACATTTGAATCAAGGTACTGTGCAAACCAGATGTATGGTGAGAAATAAGAAAACTGATGGGGGGGAAGTTGCTGAATCCCATTCTATGCAATTATGCATGGTGATCTTCCAGGAACTAGACCCAGGAGAAAAAAAATAGTAAGTATAAATGATAGGTCTGATATGGAATTGTAGAGGGTGTGGTAAGAAGGGTTTGGCTAATTACTTGCAGGAATTATTAAGCAATAATGAAGTGGATTCTATGGGGCTACAGGAAACAATGAAGAAAAATTATTCTGCAAGTTTCTTCGGGAAGATTGATCATACTGCTCAATTTTCTTGGCACTAGATTCCCTCTGTTGGAATCCTGTAGATTTAACTATAGATTTACCATTACTGGTACTTCTAAAGGGAGATTTCACATCAAAATTCAGTTTTTTGATGTGAAGCTGCAGATAACATTGGGCCGTGATCATTGTCTATGAAGCTGCTCAAGAGGAGAACAAGAGAGATTTTCTAATTGATCTTGTTGGTGGTGATTTCAGCTAGATTAGGTCTGCTAGGAAAACAATGGTGTTTTCCACAGTAACAGTCATACTTCTACTTTTAACTCCATCAATGCTTATGAACTTAGGAGATTGATGTAACACTCCAGTAGATATCCTCTGTTTGATGGTAAAGATGGATACAAGCTTCCCCAGTCACGTTGAGATGTCGAGAGGTTCAGACCTGATGGTCTTGAGGAAGAAGGTTCAGAGAGAGGGAAAAATCAGCCTTCGTTGTTACACTTTGTTGCCTCTCACGGGTACTGATCTATCAATTTTACAGTGTACTGCTCCTTCAGTCGTGAGCTCGGCTTGTTGGGTTGGGCTTCTCTCTGGCGGCCCTACAAGCTCATGCCAGCCTCATCTCGGCCTGCTTGCGCTCCCGCCTTTCCTTGCGAATTGCCTCACGTGCCAGCAAGGTCGTGACAATCCTCCCTCCTTGGGACGCGACGTGCCCCCATGCTAGTGCCACCGGGTGAAGACGATGGATGGAATCGAGCTCCTCCCAGGTAGTATATAACGTTGGTAGTTTCTGTCAGGAGACCTTGACTTGTGTCTGACAGTTTCTTGTTACACCCATCCAGCACAATCAACAGCCTCCCAGGTAGTATATGGCGTTGGTAGTTTCCGCCAGGAAATCTTGACTTGTGCCGACAGTTTCTTGATGCGCCGAATATGTCGCTCATCCAGCACAATCAACGGCTGCAACTCCGCAATGGCGTCAGGTGATAGAGGGGGGAGGTCAGTTTGCGCTTACTCACTTAGACACAGTGCCTTCTTAAGTTGTGACACATGGATCACTGGATGGATGTGGCTGGATGGAGACGGTTGCAATTTGTAAGCCACAGCACCCATTTTCTGCATCACTTGATATGGTTCGAAGAACTTGAACGATAGCTTGTGAGATGTCCGTTGCGTCACGGATTGTTGAACATACAGTCGTAGTAGGAAAACATAGTCACCTAAAGTGAATTGCTGTTCTGTACACTTTTTATCAGCCTGTCGCTGCATCCGCTGTTGGGCCCGTGTAAGTGTTGACGAATAACTTTGCAAATTCAGGACAGCTGACAGAACTGGTTGTTGAATACCAAAATACCACGGCTTATGCCCATAGAGCACTTCAAATTGAGAGTGCCCACTGCAGAATGAAATGATATGGTGTAGCAAAATTCAGCTTGTGGCAGCCATTGCGACCATCTCTTCGGATTTCCAGCAACAAAGCACCTCAGAAACGTTTCCAGGCACTGTTATGGAGTGCCAGTAACACGGCTTCATGCGCTTCTTTGTGACTTCCTAGCCAAAGTCTTCCATTCAGCTTGATGATGCCTTGTTGAAGAGAAAACCCTTGCACAGTAGGGCTGGCTAGGGCTAATTCGGCCAGCAATTGTTGGGCTTGGGCATTGGAGCTGATAACCTTCTCCTATGATCCCCAACCAGCGTGGCTGGACAGAAGATAGAGCATTTAGTTCCTCTGAATGTTCTCAGCATGACAAAGCATCTGATGCGGTATTGTCCAGCCATTTTTTATACATGATCTTGTACTGGAATCCTAGTAAGCGATAAAACCCTTTTGTTACATAGGAGTATTTGCTTTGTGATCCACCAAATGTATCAGACTACGATGATATGTGTACTCCCCAGCCTATAAATATGAGCGTCATTTGTCAATTGCCAGTAAGATAGCAAGATGATTCCTCGTTGTATGTCTATAGAGCTTATTCCTCGCCCCAAGCGCCTTGCTGAGAAACGCCATTGGATGGCCTCTTTCCATTAGCACCGAGCCTATCCCAGCATCACACGCGTCTGTTTCCAACAGCAACTGGTGACTGAAATCCGACCGAGGCTACTACCGTATGAGACAGTGTTTCAGTTGGTTTAGTTTCGTCAAACACCATGCATAACTGAATGAGATGTGCCAATTCTCCTTTCTGAATCACCTTCGGAAAGTTGCACCGCAGACATTTCATAACACTTGCTCACATTGTCTTTGAGACCTTTAAGAGTGATGCATACACCATTGTATCCAAACCGCATGGTTTTCTTAACCAATTCACCCACATGGCACCAATTCCAGATAACCAATTCATGCTGAGTATAATATCATAAGATCCGAGATCGAGCACACGTAATTCTGTTGTGAAGGTGTGACCCTGGCATGTCCATACAGCTTTGGCACCACAGCTTTGCTTTGCAATCTCCCCCATTTGCAATGGCCACAATTGCAGGTGGTGCCTCGTGCCTGGGTAACTGAAGCCTTTGTACAGTGTGACTGCTGAAGAAGTTATTAGAGCTCCCTAAGTCAACCAAAATCAGCACCTGCTGCCCACATAAAACTCCTTGCAATCAGATCGTTTTACGATGAGCAGTGCCTGCTACAGCTCATGGAGAAATATGATCAACCCTTCCTCTTCACTTTCAGAAGATGATTCATGTTGCGAAGCATTTTCTTCACCAAGAGTAGCTGGGTGAGCTCCTTCCAGCAGATGCAGCAAATCTTCAATCAGTTCCAGTTGAACTGAGTGCAGGCATTTCTAGCCACGATGATATTTTATACTCCCTCCGTCCCAAAATAAGTGTCTTAACCTTTGTACAACTTTGTATTAAAGCTAGTACAAAGTTGAGACACTTATTTTGGTACGGAGGGAGTATCACCGCATTTGAAACATAGCCCTTTTTCTCTGTGCATGGCTTTGAGTGCTGCAATCTTTTGATCAAATTTGCTTTTATCATCAAGCTGCACTTTCTCTGTATTTGGAGCACTTCCCAAAACACCCTTTGGTTTGTACTCTGTTTTGTATCTGCCACTTGAATAATGCCTAGCTTCACCCAACAAGTCCTGCGTTTGAGCAAGAGAAAGAGCCAAGTCAGGAGTTCTTGGTTTGTGCAGTCGTATAGCGGACTGAACCTCATGCCTCAACCCTTTTGCAAATTTTAAAAAGGGCAGCCCGGTGCACGTAGCTCCCGCTTGTGCAGGGCCCGGGGAAGGGTCCGGCCACTTTGGGTCTATTGTGCCTTTCCCTACATTTCTGCAAGAGACTGTTTCCAGGACTCGAACCCGTGACCTCATGGTCACAAGGCAACAGCTTTACCGCTGCGCCAAGGCTCCCCTTCGACCCTTTTGCGAATTTAGTTATAAAAAAAGCTTCATCATAATATTTGTTATGAACCAATACTGTGTGCATCAACTCCTCAAATCTGTGGTGATAAGCATTTACAGAGTCAGTTTGCTCAACACGCTCTAAAGCTTTTAAGTAGCAGTGGTATCTATCTCTCCCAAATTCTGTATGAACAGCTACCACAAATGCTTCCATGATTCAACCTCATGCATAGCCTCATAAGTGTAGCCAAAGAACTGCATTGCCACGGAAATGGAGAGTGGCAAAACTAGCCAAAGACTCCCTAGGAACATTGTACATGTGAATATTTTTCAGTAACTGTTTTCCACCAACTAGGATTGTCCCCGTCAAACTTGGGAAAATTGGACTTAGGCATGTGTGAGTTAAATGAATTATGCCGAGGAACAAACTCGTGAACATGCTCAGGGATGCTACCAGAATGTTCACCAATTCAAAGGCTACTGGAGTTTGTGGGAAGGCACGTTTACCCCCCAGGGTATGCACAGGAGCCGTGGAGACAACTGTAGCAAAACCCTGGCATGGTGTTGCTTCATGGCGCCCTTCAGGCCTAGGCGATTGTTCGTGGACAGTAGGGTGCCGCTCCGCCTCCAGAACCGTGACATGTGCACTCACTTTGTCCAGAGTGGACTGGATCACCGCCAAGTTCCTGCCCACTGTTGGTGCCCAAGTATTCACCGAGGAGAGGAGCTTGGTCAGCGCCGCCAAAGTGGTGTCCACGGACGCGAACTTCGCCTTGATGGTAAAGATAGATACAAGCTTCCTCAGCGTCACGCTGAGATGTGGAGAGGTTCAGACCTGATGGTCTTGAGGAGGAAGAAAGGTTTACACCTTGTTGTCGCTCACGGGTACCGATCCATCTATTTTACAGTGCACTGCTCCTTCAGTCGCGAGCTCAGCTTATTGGGTTGGGCTTGTCTCCCTGGCGACACTACGAGCTCGCACCGGCCTTCTCGGCATCTGCTTGCGCTCGCGCCTCTCCTTGCGATTGCCTCACGCGCCAAGAAGATCCTGGCAACTGAGATGTCAGGAGGCACTTTTACTTGGACAAACAATCAGGAGGATCCTGTGCTGGGTAAATTGGATAGGCTATTAATGTGTAGTGGCGGGGAACAATTACTCCCCATGGCAACGATGGATTAGTTGACTAGGATCAATTCTGATCATAGTCCTTTGTTGCTCAGGATGGCCTTTACAAACGCTAGGCGGCTGGCTTTGTTCATGAGATGCGCCTTCCAGGTGAGTAGCATGCCGCCGTTTTGTCGATGACGGGCTGCAACTGTGCGGCCGTGGGGTGGTGTAGAGTCAGGGGGGTGCCCAAATAGGTGATCGGGAAATCGGCGAGGGGGCAGCCCAGCAGGTTGGCAACAGGTGCCACATGGCAGAGAACCGTATCAGGGTGGCGGAGCTTTTTGAGAAGTTGACCTGGAGGCCTGAAGCTCGGCCGAAGAGCAGTAGGATGCTCTTGAGGCGGTGATGTCGCCAATGGTGGGGTGGTAGAAGAGGATTACGTTGTCAGCGTAGAGTGAGACCGAGGGGAACGGGCGCAAGGGTGCAGCCACTGCAGGACGCCCAGTTCCGTCGCACGGCGGAGGAGGCGGCCCAACGTGTCAACGGTGAGGATGAAGAGCTGTGGCGACACGGGGTCGCCCTGGCGGAGGCCACACCTGTGCCAGATGGTGGGGCCGGGGTTTCCGTTGATCACCTTCATGCTGGCCAAGGAGAGCAAGATGGCCAGGCAGTCCAGGAAGCGAGAGCCGAAGCCGTACAGGCGAAGGACCTCGAAGAGGAACGGCCAGCTAATGGTGTCGAAAGCACGAGCCAAGTCCAGCTTCAGGAGGACACGAGAGGCGCCGAGCTAGTGTAGAAGGCGCGCGGATTGGCGCACGAGGATGAAGTTGTCGTGCAGGCTGCGGTTGGGGATGAATTTGTTCTGGCACGTGCTGACGAGGCTGTGGAGCTTTGGCGCGAGGCGTAACGATAAGACCTTGGCGAAGATTTCGGTGACAAGGTGGACTGGGCTTATAGGCCTAAAGTCGCCTAGGCCGCAAGCGTCTGCGCGCTTCGGGAGCAAGGTGAGCAGCGCCTGGTTGAGGGAGCAAAAGCCCAGACAACGCATCTCGTTGGAAGACGTCAACGAAATCTTGCCGGACGATGGGCCAGCACGCGCGTAAGAACTCGGCAGTGAAGTCGTCCGGGCCGGGAGCTTTACGTACGAGTAGTTTCACCGCCTGCCAAATTTCCTCGGCTTTGAAAGGGGCGTCGAGGTCATCGAGGTTGGTGGGCGGGATCAGCTCGGAGAGGTCGAGGCTGCACTCACGGAGCGTCTCGCAGCCGAGCAGGGCGTCGAAGTGTGCGTATGCCGCGGCCGCCATGTTGCAGGGGGCAAAGATCAAAGCGCCGTCCACAATGAAGTTGTGGATCCGATTCTTCTGTCGCCGGTACGTGCATTGCCGGTGGAAGAAAGATGTGTTGGCGTCGCCGTCCTTGAGGGTCGCAATGCGGCGGGAGGGGGGGTGCGCAGCACGCCACTGCGGAACTTCCAGCAGTCACGCAAGCCGTGTCCAAGGTAGAGGCAACGGCGGCGGCGGATGTCATTGGTGCACTCGCGCACCGAGTGGCCAGGGTCCAGGCAGCGGAAGCAGAGGCCAGCGGCCTCCTCCGGAGAGGGGTTGCGGCGGTGGTGCCGCTGGGCCGGCGGGATGGCGTCACGGCGCGCGCCCCGGCGCCTGTTCCTGCGGCGGGGGGCCTGGAAGCCATCCGCGTCAACCTCCGAACCTCCATGGACGCGGTGGACCTCGCTACGGGGCCCGAGGCGGGTGGCGGCCGGGGCGGCATGGCGGGGCCGGGCGCCGCCAGGAGGAGGGAGGCGATGAGGGCCTAGCCCGGGGCAGGAGGAGGCATCCGGGCAACCTCACTGTAGGATCTCACGAAGGACTCGCCATTAGAATCCAGCCAGCGGCGCGAGCCGGCGGAGCCGAGGTCAAGGTCGCCGGAGCTGCCACTGGGGGAGGCCATGGTCGGCGTGGGAGGAGGGCTACCGACGGGGGTCGGCGGCGGTGGGGCTAGAGGCGGGAGGGGGCTAGGCTAGGGGCGGAGCGGAGCGGAGCGGAGCGAAGCGGAGCCATCTCAGAAGTGTCGATTCTTTGTTGCTCGTCCTTTTGCAAGATTAACATCAGATTTGCTAGCTTGCGAGGGTTGCCAACCGCAGCAGAGTACAGCTGAGGAAGAGCATAAAGAGAAGGCAATGGCCTTTCCACACCTCAATGGGGATACAATCAGAGCCCATCGCCCTTGCCTCCTTTCATCCCTTCTAAAGCCTCAATGACCTCAAACTCCTAGATTCGTCGCACAAAACGCATGTTGGTATCATGAAAGGAGTCGTCCAACTCAATGATAGAGCTCCCACTCTCTACATTGAACAACTTGTTGAGGTACTCCTGCCATCTATGCTTAATCTCCTTGCCCTTCAACAGGAGCTTATCTGCTCCGTCCTTGATGCATTTGACTTGGTTGACATCGCTCGTCTTCTTCTCTCAGATCTTAGCCATCTTATAGATGTCCCTTTCGCCTTCCTTCGTGTCTAAGTGTTGGTAGTAGGCCGACCCCTAGCTTCACTCACATCTCGCTTTGCGGTGTTCTTTGCCATATTGTAGTTCTCTATGTTGTCTGCACTCCTATCTGGGTGTAGGCATCTAAAACAATATAATTAAGCAATGACTAGTGACTGCTAAATTCTTGTTGCAAAATGCAGTGTGGATTTTTGGGATGGGTCTACGCGCATCGGTTAAGCAAAAAAATAGTAAAAAATCAAAAAATGTGAATTTTTTTTGCGAGAAACGGTCTAGCATAATAATCACATTTAAAGTATCGGTCACAAATGAGTTATGTTGTAATCTGAGTGAAAAAGTAAAGTGCAGCTACAGAAACCGTGAATAGTAGTGTTTATATAGTATTGATTTTGTTGTATTTTGCTCGGAATACGATACAAATCATTTTATCCCTAAACTTTAAATGTGAGTTATGCTAGACCATGTATTTTGTCAAAAAAGTTTTTCAGTTTGGGTGCGCGCGCACCCAGGTTCCCCGAGATGCATTTTCGGTGCAAAATGCCATTATAACAACTTTGGATTGAATTTTAATCATATAGAAGCAAATATTTAGCCATAACCAAAATATAACTAAAATACGCAAATGTTCATGTATACACTACATATTTAAATGTTGAATAACCTAAGCTTATGTTATTATGAAAGAAAAAAAATTCAAACAAAACTAAAAATGCAATCAAGAGTATCTTCATTGTGTATACCAATCTACACAAAATCAGAGATAAAGTGGATTATATTATAGTACTAGTAAATGCACGTTAATATTAGGCAGTATATTAGATAGGATATTTTTGCGCGTTAATTATGTGTTTAGTGCTATATTTGTATGATATTAATTACACACTGAACATGTTGGGCGCTCGCCATTGAAACAGTCTAGCTCATTGGATTGGCCTGGTTCGATGGTCAAGATTAGTTGGAACTGCCCCTTTGAGTCTTTTGATATTGGTAGAGATACAACATTCGGTCCCAAATTCTACTACTGAAAAGGAGATTAATTAGTTGTAGTATGCCATAATAATGTTATATTTCAATTCATCTTCTCTATGAATGTGATGAAATTGAGATTACATTGTAAAATAAGCGAATTGCTAAAAGTAAACTGCATGAGGTATTGAGGTAATGATGTGCACCTGTTGCGCAATAATGGGGTCATCCCTGCTACGTTTGACAATATAATTAAGCAATGAGTCCACATAATCCCGCACTGCGATATATCCATACAGTTCTACTGAGCTAGTGTTGATAGAGACACTAGCCAATTTTAATGACAAAATTTGCATCATCGGGCTTTTATAATGCACGCAGCATCTTTCTCGGTCAGGAAAGCAATCCGTTGGCTCCGATAACATCATTGGCTCAAGTTGTGCTTCATATATATATATATATATATATATATATATATAATATTAAATAAAGATGTACTCTAAAAAGTATAATCATGCTTTTCACGCACATATCTGAGTTCAAAAACAATTATCTAATGAAATGCCTCCAATGTTACTATTATAGAATAACAACAAAAGAAATGCTAATTGAACAAGTGAGAAGAGTGACGCAACCCTACATGATGGAAATACTGAAGCAGACTATAAGAGTAGTGGTTAACAAGACTTCAATTCGTGTATGGCAAAACGTTTAACGAAACAGTATGTTAAACTTGTTGATCTTCAAAGAACTTCATAAGATGTTCGTTATTGACAAAAACAATTTTCTCATCGCCTATTTTCATTTTGATAAGAATATACATAAGTGCATACGAGACTTATTCATTTATCTGATTCAAAAAATAAAACAATTATTGCTAGGACACAATGCAATATACTATTTGAAAGTAAAGATAACGTTATGAACTGGCACCAACTCTAACAACATTTGTTGAAAATCAAGATGCTCATAATACTAACGCTTATTATTACATGGCAAAACTGGCTATTTGTATAAGTGGACTACCCTGTGGATCATATATCCAAAGTTGGTTGTCAATTGGTACAATACCCATTAGGGGCAAAGCAGAATAGAAATTGACACTCGTACCCCTATGTAGAACAAGGGAGTTGCATTCACTTAATGACCAATTCGATCACTCGGGGGATCTGCCCAACTAGAAAAGCTCACGTGACCCTAGAAAGAAATCTTGCGCAGTGCAACCAGCGGCTGATCAATCCATCACCTATTAATACGTCTTCACCACCGTCACTGCATATCGTTGTTGGTCCAACATAATCGAACTCCTAGCTCAGCACCTTAATGCGGTACATAATCGAACTCCTAGCTCAGTACCTTAATGCTACCACACGCTTGCTCATATACCATTTTTGAACCATGCAAGTGCTAATCCCACGAGTATTCATGGCCACTAATATTGATGCTGTAGACAATATTATGAAGATAATGATAATGAAGGTGTGGCTACTCCAGATGATGATCATGTACCCATGGAGCATTGATTGTGATATGGGTAGCCCAAATATGGAGGAAGGTAGCACTTTCCCTTCAATGGATGCATTTAGACTAGTAATCAAACAATATGAAATCAGGGGAATTTGACATGGGGTCTCTAAGATCTGAACCGGGTAGGTTTCACGGCATTTGTAAAGCCAAAGGATGTATGTGACACATTAAGGCTGAGAAAGTGCAGCATGGAGTTATCATGGTACAGATCTTGTTGTGAAATGCTAATCTTTGTACTGCTCTTTATCATTATCATTTACTTGGTACTAATTGGCTCATTCTTTACTTATACTTTTATTTGCAAGTGACTGGTGTAGGGCCTGATCACATATGTTTTACTAGCATCACATATGTCTTACTAGCAGCGGGAGAACATCTAGTATGGCATCTCAAAGCTGGATTGCCGAGAGACGGAGAGAGCAATGCCTATGTTGAGGAAGAACCCTAAAACGAGTGTTGTAGAACTGTAGTAGAAGTTGGAAGAAAACTGGTCTCACTTAGACTCTGTTTGTTTGGGCGTCTGAGAGCAGCTTTGGATGAAAAAAGCTAAAGCCCAAACAAACAACTGTTTTGCACCCGTTGTGGCCTCACAGCATAACGTAGTTTGCAGTTATGAAACAACTCCCAATCCAAACACCACAATACGTACTTCAGCTGAAGTGGGTTGCGCTACCATCCATGTACCAATGCTAACCTTGCGCTTTCACTCACTTCACGAAGAAATTACCATCCCTAATCAATCAAGCTTGAGTCAAGCCTCCTCAGCGTATGCCGCTGGAGAAGAAAGTCTGGTTCAGACACCTACACCTGGATAGGAGTGTAGACAACAACGCGAGTTATGGGTGAAGCAAGGGGTGGGGTCAGGCTTATGAGGACTTCTACCAGCATTTAAACACGAAGGAAGGCAAAAGGGACTTATATATGGCCAAGATCCAAGAGAGGAAGACGAGGGATTTCAACCAAGTCAAATGAGAGCTCTACCATTGAACTAGACAAATTCCCTTTGACAATACCAACAGATGTTCTGTGCGATGAATCTAGGAGTCGAAGGTCGGGGAAGTTTAAAAAGGATGAAAGCAGGCAAGGTGATGAGCCCTGATTGTATCCCCATTGAAGTTTGGACAGGCCTTGGAGACACAGCGATAATATGGCTAAATAAGCTTTTCAATCTCATTTTTTGGTTAAACAAGATGCCCGAAGAATGAAAGCGGAGTATATTAGTACCAGTCTTAAAGAACAAGGAGGGTGTTCAAGGTTGTACTAATTACTGTGGAATTAAGCTGATGAGCCATACAATGAAGCTATGGGAGAGTCATTGAGCACCGCTTAAGAAGAATGACAAGCATGACCAAAAATTGGTTTCATGCCTGGGAGGTGGACCATGGAAGCCATTTTCTTGGTATGACAACTTATGGAGAGATAAAGGGAGCGAAAGAAGGGCCTTCATATGGTGTTCATTGACTTGGAGAACCCCTACGATAAGATACCGTGGAATGTCATGTGGCGGGCCTTGGAGAAACACAAAGTCCCAACAATCAAGGACATACGATAATGTTGTGACAAATGTTCGAACAAGTGATGGCGAACACTAATGACTTTACGATTAAAATAGGACCACACCAAGGGTCAACTTTGAGCCCTTATCTTTTTTGCTTTGGTGATGGATGAGGTCACAAGGGATATACAAGGAGAAACCGCATGGTGTATGGTCTTTTGAGGAGGATGTGGTCGACAATAATCAAACAGAGCCTAACAGAAAGTTGAATCGTGGAGATAAGTTTTGGAATTGAAAGGTTTTAGGCTTAGTAGAACTAAACTGAGTACATGAGGTGTGATTTTAGTACCATACTAGGCATGTGGAGGTTAGCCTTGATGGGCAGGTGGTACCTCAGAAGGACAGCTTTCGATATTTAGGGTCAATGCTGCAGAAGGCTGTGATGTTGATAAAGATGTGAGCCATCAAATCAAAGTTGGATGGATGAAGTGGCACCAAGCTTCTGGCATTCTCTGTGAAAAGGGAGTGCAACAAAAGCTAAAAGGCGGGTTCTATAGGATGGCGATTCAACCTACGATGTTGTATGGAGCAAAATGTTGGCCAACTAAAAGGCGCCATGTCGAACAGTTAGTTGTAGCAGAATACACATGTTGAGATGGATATGTGGCCACACAAGAAAGGATCGGGTCCAGAATGATGATATATGTGATAGAGTTGGGGTAGCAACGATTGAAGAGAAGCTTGTCCAACATTGTTTGAGATGGTTTGGGCATATACAACGCAGGCCTCCAGAAGCGTCGGCGCATGTCGGTTCATAGCAAAAGGATAAAACGCGCTAGTAATGTCAAGAGAGGTCAGGATAGACCAAACTTGACATGGGAAGAGTCCGTAAAGACAGATTGAACTAAGCCATGGATAGGGGTGCATGGAAGTTAGCTATTCACATAACAGAACCATGACTTGGTTTCGAGACCTTATGGGTTTCAACTCTAGGCTATCCCAACTTGTTTGAGACCGAAAGGCTTTGTGGTTGTTGTATCCTTCTGTATTGGTTGTGCGTACTAGATGTGTGCACAAATGCTTACATGGATCTGGAGAATGTAGTGAAGGCCGCTTTCCCTGATGGCAAGCACAGGGAGTGCATTAAGCAACTTACCACAAGCTTGGTTGGGGAATTCCTTGGTAAAGTATGGCCACATGTGGGCTGCAGCTAGGGCATATGAAAAAGATAAATTTGATAACCACATGGCCAAGATATTTGCAGCAAGCAAAGGTAGCAGCATACCCACTACAACACCACAATTTACTATGGATGAGGTTCATTTCTAGCCCTTGCACAAGTGATCCATTCATTTTTATGCTCTTGTTGCAAACATTTAATTGCTCTTGAATTTTTAGGTGTGGAGTTATCCCAAATATTAAGTGTGACTGCATAACTAATAATCTTGCTGAGACCTTAACTCTTGGCTGAGGGATATAAAGGATTTGCCTATTGTTCATCTAGTTGATACTTGATAAGTCAAGTTTTAATTAATTATGTTACTTTTTAAGCAGAGGAGAGCAAGGTAAAAGGTAAAATACTACCTGCTATCATACAAGAGTTAATGTCTATCCTAGAGGAATAGGCCATCGTAAGCCGCATGGATCCAGCGAGTGGAGTGCCAAGGTCAAAGATACTACAAAAAATGACCTTCAACATGTAGTTAAGTGTCTTACACATGAATGAACTTGCCTAGAATGGCAGCACATGGGCAAGCCATGTTGACATGCACTGGTTGTTTTAGTTGCACCAAAAAAGAGATGTTGAAATAAAGGTTGACGGCCAACTTTGGGTATATGATCTAAGGCCTCAGGACTAAAGTCAACCAGCTTACAATAAAGAGATGTTGGAGTTAAAAAAACTACTTCGGAAATAAATACTCCCTCCGTCCGAAAAAAATTGTCCCTCAAATGGATGTATCTAGCATCAAGTTAGTGCTAGATACATCTCTTTGAGACACAAGTTTGGGACGAGGGAGTACTTGGGACTTCTACTCTCTTTTAACTAACATACTAACACTCTACTAAAGCATCCGCTACATTGCATACTGCTAAAAAATAATGCACATTCAGCCTCAAGCTTTTAATCAATTAGCTAAATATTGTGAAATATCCTATAAATCAACTGGAACGTGATAGGAAAGAGATTTGCATCACTTACTCTCATCACGGTCAGTAACACGACATAATTTTCGAAGAGCAAAGCTTCTCTTGTATATAGCACCATCCCGATGGCTGCTGTTCTTAAAGATGAAGGTCGATCTTACATTGTCGGCGGGATGTCTAACAAGGACCTCCTTGGTTCCCCACCTCTTTGCTTCTCTACTTATCTCTTCGGTGATGTGGCAGAGCCAATTCGGTTTACCCCATTTCTTCTTGTCTTTTACTCCCATGATGTTCTGGGCCATGATCCAGGATTGATAAGCAGATCTACCACCAAAGAGCTATTAGAATTCGGCTAAAATAAGATACGTTGATTGAAATTGTAATCATACTACTCCAATCGTTTCACTATATATGTCCCCATTCTTGGGAACCTCCGTTCCAAAATATCAATCCATTCAGCAAAAAAGAAAAATAAGAGTGTAGTTGCAGTTTTTTCCAATCTTTCCCCTTGCTTAAGTGCTTTGATATTGGTTGGCAGCCGTATGGTGGGACGAGGACAGATGTATTGAAACAAAAATCATTCAAACAAATGTTGAGGGGGAAATCCTTCAAAATAATATAACTGTAAGGACGAATAAGAGTTCAAAGGCACAAAGTTCAACGTTTGTCTCAATCCAGCGCCAAAAATATCCACAAGATAAAGACGCACCGGGGAACATGGTCCAGATTTCTCCACGAGTGGAGCATCTTGTTGCTCAAGTTTCGGAGGACCCAATCGAGGAGAAGCAGAGAGGAGGGCAGCAATTTGGGGATGGACGAGGCCGCGCGGTGAAGCGACTGGGCGCTCGTTTGGATGGTGAAAGGTTGGCAGAAAAAAATTAGGGTTCGGAAATCGGGACTGGGGACGCGGAATGCGCGAGGCTTCCACCAATCAGGCCATCCACCTCGTCCGTTCTTTCTTTCCGCTCGATACAGCCGGTACGGGTACGGCCAGTACATGGGAGGTGCTATACCTCGGATGCTCGTATTTCTATAAACAGGCTTTGCTCCGCTATCTTCTTAGAGATTTCGCTGTAAACCAAATTCGGATGTGTATAGATGCATTTTAAATTGTAGATTCATTTATTTTGCTCTGTACTCCTATGTAGGCCATAATGAAATCTTTACAAAGACTTAGAGATTTCATTATAAACCAAATTCAGATGTATATAGATGCATTTTAAATTGTAGATTCATTTATTTTGCTCTGTATGTAGGCCATGAAATCTTTACAAAGAGTTATACTTCCTCCGTACAAAGTTGAGACATTTATTTTAGGACGAAGGGTATATTTAGGAACGGCGGGAGTATAAAGCAACAACTGAACGGAGTACATGGCTGAACGATATAAGATGGAGAGGTGATTCTCTTACAAAGCATATCCGGAGATAATCAGATCATGCAGAACAACTACGCTATCGGAGAAGAACACAGGGAAGACTAGGTACAACGCTACGCTACGCCCTAGCACACCTAAACTCCATGACAATGCCCTCGGGAGGGAAGACGACGCGAAAAGTCGGTTGTCGAGTCCAAGGTGGACATGAGCTTTCGCTCGGAACCTTGACACCGTGAGGAGAATCACGACGACGTCTTCAAGAAAAGACTGGCGCTCGCGAGCGTCACCGCTGTCGGCGCCAAAAGCACGGAGCTTTCCTTCCGCAACTCAACCATGCCACATGAGGTCACCAGGACAAGCGCGACGATCCCAGGTTCCCAGATTCAGATTTGGGCGTCGCCACTACTAACAACAAAGGACGGGCCCGAGCCACCTGACGCTACCCCCTCGTCGCCCATAGGACCAAGAGGGAAGCCACCGCCGCCGCCATAGTGCCCGTCAGAGAGCCAAACATGCAGCCCGCCATCTGAGGCCGCCGCCCCGGCATACCAGGTCCAACACACCGCCATCCGACCACTTCGCGTCACACTGACCACTGTAGGAAAGAGGACGAGTCCATCCACTCCTAGCCCCGCATCAGCCATCGATTCTGGGTTAGCGCCTCCACCGTAGGAACTGCCCACACATGCATCCCTGGCTAGCCCTGATGGGCTAGGGGGCACGAACCGATTACTGCCAACGGCCGTTGTCGAGCAAGCCTAGACCCGACCCTCTGGCCTCGGCCCAAGCAAGCATGCACAATGCCATGTCCATGGTATTTGGCGCGGATCCGACGGCAAGAGCAGCGATGTCACGACCACCACCTACTCCCACCGCACCCGTGAGAGGAAGACACCATTCGTGAGCACATCCCGGCCCGAGACCAACCTCACCTACCCGAAGCACCAGATCTGGCCTGCCTGAGCACGAACCCTAGCTCCAAGCCTTCCCCGTTGCGCGTGCGGTCGGCACCACTAGCACCTGCCCAACCCCGTGCACCGTCGGCTTGAACCCAAGAGAAGGAGAGCCACCACCCTGCGCCGCCTGTAAAAGAAGCATCGCACCCGGATCTGCGACGCCATTGCCGCCACAAGCACGCACCACCCACCATGCCCGAGAAGAACCAGCAGCGGGGAAAAGCCACCATCGGCCACCCAGGCCCTGCTGTCCACCAGCGGACACGGCAAGCAGGCTGCACCGCCGGGCCCAAGCCGATCGCAACCCGCGCCGCTCGCCGAGGAGCTCTCCAACCCAATCCAGATCGGGATGAGCGAGCCACCCCCACCGGCGTGCACCACCATCCCTACGCCGCCCAGCACACGGACCACGTCCACGCCCCGCTGAGGCACGGCCGGAGAGCCGCCGCGTTGCAGCACCCAGCGCCAGCGCCGCATCCCAACGCGGTTGCCTTGTGACGCCCCCGATTCAATCGTACACTAATCATACATGCAAACGTGTACGATCAAGATCAGGACTCACGGGAAGATATCACAACACAACTCTAAACACAAATAAAAGGATACAAGCTTCATATTACAAGCCAAGGGCCTCGAGGGCTCGAATAGAAATGCTCAACCATAAACGAGTTAGGGGAAGCAACAATATCTGAGTAAAAACATAAGTTAAACAAGGTGCCATAACATGGCTAGCACAAACATGGATACAGATCGAAGAGGCACAAGCCTCTTGCCTGGGATCCTCCTAAACTACTCCTGGTCGTCGGCGACCTCACGTAGTAGTAGTCACCCTCAGGGAAGTAGCAGTCATCATCGACGATGGCGTCTGGCTCCTGGCTCCTGGGCTCCAACATCTTATCGCAGCAACCCGGTTTGGGGAAAAGGGGAAGCAAAGCAACCGTGAGTACTCATCCAAAGTACTCGCAAGACTGACATCGGATCTACACTACATATGCATCGGTATCAATAAAGGGGTAGTATTTGTGGGCTGAACTACAGAATGCCAGAATAAAGGGGGAGAAGCTAGTCCTATCGAATACTACGCTTCTGGCAGCCTCCATCTTGAAGCAATAGAAGAGAGTAGCAAGTATAGCATCAAGTGTCATCGCATGGCATAATCCTACCCGACAATCCTCTCCTCCTCACCATGTGAGAGAGCGAGCACCGGGTTGTAGCTGTCACTTGACTGGGTGTGTTTTATTAAGTATCATATTTTAGTTGTAAGAGGTCGGAATACAACTCCAAGTCATCCTGTTACCATGGACACGAGTATTTGAATAGATCAACTTCCCTGCAAGGGTGCACCACATTACCCGACACGCTCGATCACTCTGGCCAGACACGCTTTGCTGGGTCATGCCCGGCCTCGAAAGGTTAACACGTCGCATCCCTACCTAAGCTCAATAGAGGTCAGCATGCCAGTCTATATCCTAAGCGCGCAGGGGTCTTGGGCCCATCGCCCTTTGCACTCCTGCACATTGCGTGAGCGGCCAGGATCAGTCCTGGCAACCTGCACTACAAGGCGGTTGCTTTACGTGGACCACCCAGGCGCGCGCTACTCAGTCGCTGACGTCTGGAGAACTTCGGTTGATACTACGATGTTGGTTGCCCATATCTTGTCCCACGCGACGGTTAGTGCGTATTGTTGGGGAATGTAGTAATTCAAAAAAATCCTACGATCACGCAAGATCTATCTAGGAGATGCATAGCAACGAGACGGGAGAGTGTGTCCACGCACCCTCGTAGACCTAAAGCGGAAGCGTTTAGTAACGCGATTGATGTAGTCAACCGTCTTCACGATCCAACCGATCCAAGTACCGAACGTACGTCACCTCCGTGCTCGGCACATGTTCAGCACGATGGCGTCCCTCGTGCTCTTGATCCAGTTGAGGATGAGGGAGAGTTCCATCAGCATGACAGCGTGGCGATGTTGATGATGATGTTACCGGCGCAGGGCTTCGCCTAAGCACTACAACGATATGACCGAGGTGTTAAACTGTGGAGGGGGGCACCGCACACGGCTAAGAGATTGTCTGTTGTGTTTTGGGGTGCCCCCTGCCCCCATATATAAAGGAGGAGAGGGGAGGCCGGCCGGCCCTGTAGGGCGCGCCAAGAAGGAGGAGTCCTACTAGGACTCCAAGTCCTAGTAGGATTCCCCTTGGTGGAAGGGGGAAGAAGGAAGGGAGAGGGAGAGGGAGAGGGAAAGGGGGGCCACGCCCCCTCCCCTATTCGGACTCCCCTTGGGGGGGGGGAACCCCCTTGCGGGTTGTCCTCTCTCTCCCCTATGGCCCATGCTGGCCCATTGCTTCCCTGGGGGGTTCCGGTAACCCCTCCGGCACTCCGTTTTTACCCGGTATCTCTGGGAACTCTTCCAGTGTCCGAATAACATCGTCCAATATATCAATCTTTATGTCTCCACCATTTCGAGACTCCTCGTCATGTCCGTGATCTCATCCGAGACTCCAAACAAACTTCGGACATCAAATCACATAACTCATAATACAAATCATCATCGAACGTTAAGCGTGCGGACCCTACGGGTTCGAGAACTATGTAGACATGATCGAGATACATCTCCGATCAATAACCAATAGCGGAACCTGGATGCTCATATTGGTTCCTACATATTCTACGAAGATCTTTATCAGTCAAACCGAACAACAACATACGTTGTTCCCTTTGTCATCGGTATGTTACTTGCCCGAGATTCGATCATCAATATCATCATACCTAGTTCAATCTCGTTACCGGCAAGTCTCTTTACTCGTTCCATAATGCTTCATCCTGTAACCAACTCCTTGGTCACATTGCTTGCAAGGCTTATAGTGATGAGCATTACCAAGAGGGCCCAGATATACCTCTCTGATACACGGAGTGACAAATTCTATTTATCAATTTATGCCAACCCAACAAACACCTTCAGAGACACTTGTAGAGCATCTTTATAATCACCCAGTTACGTTGTGACGTTTGATAGCACACAAGGTGTTCCTCCGGTATTCGGGAGTTGCATAATCTCATAGTTAGAGGAACATGTATAGCCATGAAGAAAGCAGTAGCAATAAAACTGTGATGATCATCATGCTAAGCTAACGGATGGGTCTTGTCCATCACATCATTCTCTAATGATGTGATCCCGTTCATCAAATGACAACACATGTCTATGGTTAGGAAACATAACCATATTTGATTAACGAGCTAGTCAAGTAGAGGCATACTAGGGACACTATGTTTTGTCTATGTATTCACACATGTACTAAGTTTCGAGTTAATACAATTCTAGCATGAATAATAAACATTTATCATGATATAAGAAAATATAAATAACAACTTTATTATTACCTCTAGGGCATATTTCCTTCAGTCTCCCACTT